GGAGGGGAGGGGGGGCAGTGGTGCTGTGGTCTGGTTCAATTATATGAGATTTGGTAGAGTTCGCACACAGCTCGGGCCAGAAAAGCTCCACGGGACCCTGATGTGATCGTGTGGAGCTTCATTCTGTATAGTTCCAGAATTGCTGTATGTATTCCTGGTTTGATGTGTGGACCTGATTGCCCATTTGTCGACATGCAACCCCTGGAAGATCTGTGGACCCCCTGGAAGATCTGTGCTCCCCCTGGAAGATCTGTGGACCACCTGGAACAATTGTGGACCACCTGGAAATTGTGTACTGCCAGGAACATATGGGCCATATACCCTTCTGCACATGGGGGGCAGTTGTGGACCACCCACCTGGAACATTCTCTGGACCACTTAAAACATTCTCTGGACCACATAGAACATTCTCTGGACCACCTGGAACATTCTCTGGACCACCTAGAACATTCTCTGGACCACCTAGAACATTCTCGGGACCACCTAGAACATTCTTTGGACCACCTAAAATATTCTCTGGACCACTTGGAATATTTGTGGACCACCATAAGGCCCACATATAGCCTTTGCACGTGGAGACAGGAAGTGTGAAGTATATGCACCTGGGCAGAGAAAGAGTGTAGGTTCTTCTTGCGTAACATGCACTTGGAGAGAGGAAGGGTCCAGGTTCTTCATCTTCTATAGAGAACTGCCGGTGAACCGTCATCGGAGAGGGGGAAAGAGGACGAGGACAACAAACGAGGGGCTGGGAAGGACACTTTCGTCAGAGTTTCACGGACTCGTGAGGAGGCGCAACCCTACATTCGGACGCGCGCCACTACTCACCACATGCACAAAAGACAAAATATGGCGGTGTATCTTCCCATGTTCTACTGGAAGATTCATTCTCAGTTTGCTCATTTGGTGAGTAGTGGACCGAGGCCCATATACATGTATCTGTCTCTGCCTATGGTTTATAACTTTATCTCGGTGAGACCGTGACAAATCAGTCTGTCATGTACTCACAGCCCCCCATTTGTTGTCCTCTTCTCCCTCTCTGKCTATGGTTTACAGGGCAGCTCTGTTTGACGACTATATATATATATATATATATATATATATATATATATATATACCGGGCAGTTCTGTTTGTGACGATATATATATATATAGCCTCCTGATGAGTCGGTGAAACTCCGACGAAACAGTTTGTCACAGCCCCTCGTTTGTTGTCCTCTTCTCTCTCTCTGCCTACGCTTTACCGGGCAGCTCTATTTGTGACGATATATATTATATCGTCAAACAGTATTTTATATATTCTAGACTACCAGAGTGGCCCGGGACCACTTGCCCGGCTGGGTCAGAAAAAAAAAAAACATTGAAGAAAAAAATAAAAATATATATTTTTTAGTCTTTTTTTTTTTTTTGGTAAAGAATTTCGATGAGACCCTGAGGCAAAAGTTGTTCAGTTTATTTTTCTGCATAACATAGTTTTTTTCCGGATTTTTTTTTTTTTTTTTTGCTGAGATAATTCCCAGGTCCTTGCACAACTGGGCCACCTGGTGAAAAAGGGGTCCGACTGGGAGCCTTGTTATATATATAATATTATTTACTATATATGTTTTTTTTTTTTTTTTTTTAATAAGAGCAGGGTCTTCTAGGCGGTGGCAGACAACAGGTTCTTGACAGCAGTAGCAGCCAAATGCATTAATCTTTACCGTCGATCTGTAGAAAGGAAGCCAGGATTACATCACTGACAAGAAAGGAAAAAAAAAACATCACTGACAAGAAAAAAGAAGGAAAAAAAAAAAAAAAGGCAGTACGAGAAAACGAAAGCCATTTTTTAATTTTTCTTTTTTTGTTCTTTCTTTTTTTTCTCTTTGGCTCCCCTGCATAATTCCCTCTCCTTTTCTTTCTCGCTGCTTTCGTCTTTTTTTGGGGGGCAGTCACGAGGTGCGTTCATCCATCGGACAGCTTTCTTTTCCTTCGTCCTGTTCTTTCTTTTCTTTCTTTCCTTCCCTCCCTCCCTTGTCCATTACTCAAAAATATACTTCGACTTCAAATTTCAAAATGACAAAATATGAATTATTGATTCCGTCCTTCCCACCTTTTATTGATCCTTGTTCCTCTCAGCTGTCTCCCGGGGTCAAGTCCCACATACACAGGTTCTTCGCTTCTGGTCGTTGATCTTTGCAATCTACGGTCAGAAATTGAAATTGAGAGTTCAGGTAAGTGGGACTTGGCCTCCGGCTTGGGGCCAATTCGTGCTTACACAGGTTCTTCGTTCCCGGCCGTCGATCTTCGCAATCTACGGTCAGAAATTGGGGGACTCGGCCCCCGGCTTCATTACTTCTCCCCTTCCGTTTTCTGCCTTGCCTCGTAACCCCTCTCAAAATTCCGCTTCGAATCACTGACCAAACTGTAGAAGATTGGGAAAAATCTGTGAGTGGAAAATTCACTCAGGCAATCGTCCGGTTGGAATTCTATATATAGTGACCCCAAAGACCTGTCTAGAAGAATTCGAAGGACGGAGTCGAGGAATTGGTCTCCGCCGCATCGGGTCATGAAAAAGAGCCGGTCGAAATTGCTACAATAGAGGAGGTTCCCATGTGGCAAGACGAAAAACAGATGATACACTTACACTTCTTCCCTGTTTCTCTCTCCCGGCTACCTTTCTCTCTCTTCCTCTCTCTGGCGAATGAACACTGGTTTTTTGTTTCTTTGTCCTCGTCCCCATTTTTCCTTCCCTTTTCCGTCATGTAAGTTTATCTTCCTACCTTCCTTCCTTTGTTCTCTCTCTCTCTCTCTCTCTCTCTCTCTCTCTCTCTCTCTCTCTCTCTCTCTCTCTCTCTCTCTCTCTCTCTCGTCCAACAGATATATATATATATATATATATCACATATGGTTAATGGGTGGTGTTATTTTCGGTGGATTTTTCACCGAAACTGCCATATTTTCCGGAATTGGTGATTTTTTTTTTATTTTTTTTTTTGTGTGTGTGATATGTATGTGCTTTGGGGTATATCTATATTAAATTTCGATATATTTGGACCGCTAACAACGAAGTTGGCAAAAACACCGAATTCGGGAAACAAATTGCTGAACTTCGAATGCTACTCCGAATAGGGTTTCATAGTGCTTTTTAGTTTGTTTGTTTTTTTCCCCTTCCATTTTCTGTCGTATAAGTTCTCTTCCTGTCTTCCTTCCTTCTCTCTCTCTCTCTCTCTCTCTCTCTCTCTCTCTCTCTCTCTCTCTCTCTCTCTCTCTCTCTCTCTCTCNCTCTCTCTCTCTCTCTCTCTCTCTCTCTCTCTCTCTCTCTCTCTCTCTCTCTCTCTCTCTCTCTGTCTCTCTCACACACACACACACACACACACGCACACACATGTGCATAGAGTCAGCAACAAAAATTCCCCCGAATACTCTGTTATGGCCGGGCGTTCTAGAGCAAGACTAGAGGAGCAGTGGGTGGGGAGTTGGTCTGCCGGAGACCAAGAGTGTGAAGAGTGTGAAGTCCTTTTAGCTGGCGATGGGTAGTTGTTATGATCTTTGCAGGTCGTTGTTGTCACCCTCGTCCTTACGGTGGTCACCACAATAGCGGTACGTGGGCCATTTTTCAGTCTAGATACAGTGAGAATAGCTGTGTGTTCTATTCGGGTGAAGAAGATAGCCGTAGATAGGTGCAGGCCAGCCGAGATGTCAACATATTCAGGGTTTTCCTCGAGACATAGCTACCATCTTCACCCAAATAGAATGCCTGGTCAATATAGCTGCATTTTGGCCACCTTTCAGTCCAGATGCAGCGATAGTAATTACTGGGCATTCTCTTCGTGTGAAGATGGTAGTGCAGGCTCCTCCTTGGAGCACAGATAGTTTGTGAGTTTGGCAGGAAGTTATGGGTCTCGCTCCACTAGACGAGATGTAAATGTACCTGCATCTTGTCTTTGTCCCGATACATCAGAAATGTTGAAATCACTTCAGATGTATCTGGTCCATTTCAGGAGTCCAGCTGCATGTACAATGTTGGGTAATGCAGCGAGGCCCTATTACAGGCAGGCAGGTAGGTGCAAGCGGAGGGAGAATGTTGGACAGGAAAACCAGACTCCTTTGCACGCAGCTGGTATAATTGGATTCTGTTGTTGTCATTAAACCGCCAGTACGTTTTCCAGCCATTTTTCCAGAGTTGCGCCGCGCATGCAGCCGTGAATCTCGAATAGTACTGGGGCGCCGCTTCGCTGAATATCCATAGAGTGAAAACGGGTCGCATGCGAGGCCCATTTTGTGTTCCAGCCATTTTTTCAAAGTTGCGTCGTGCATGCAGCCGTGCATCTCGGGAAGTACCGGGGCGCCGGCTCACTGGATATCAAGAAGTGGGCAGCCGCGGCCCCAGTTTCGTGCCCGCCCGCTCACACACACCCACCCACCCACCCACCCACCCGGTCGCACACACACACCCACCCCCACCCA